ACACACACACACACACACCCTCCAGAAGGAAGGACAGTGTCAGCACCAATTCAGAGATGATTTGAGGATCTACAGCTCAGTGATACACAAATAAGCTACATTTTTATTTATAGTTCAGGTACTTGAATGCATTTTTAAGGTTTAACTCCTGAGTTTAGTGTCACTTTAAAGCTTTGGATTCTACAATTCCTGTCCGAGGGTGACAACTCTCACCTCACTGTACATTTCTGTATCAATGGAAAAATAGCACGGTCATCCTAGGCTGCTCCCATCCAAATTCATCTCCATTATATAGGGGGAGGTGTTTTGTACTCCACAGAAGACAGCTAGGAAGGCTAACTTTGTTTGCAATGTCAGTTCAGAGCACAGGAATTTAAGACACTTAAATTCTAGCATGATCAACAGGTATTTCTCTATAGCATCACAAATGTGGCAAATCACCACACACCAATATCAAACATATTTTAGAACCTTTAGTAAAAAAGATAAGTACATACTCCCCCGTCAAGTGTTTCACTCTAAACAGGACCCAATCATATAGATAGTCGCTCGTTCTTTGATTAAGCCCTGCTTAAGGACAAATTATGCAAGAGTTGAGGGGAGTGTGTGCTGATTATCTTATAAATAAGTGGACTAAAGTATGTCTAAAATAATTGTGCGCTGGCACCTGGTAGCTGTTTGAAGGAGAGCAGTCGATTAGTTCCTAGGTATTTTTCTGTACTTGCATGTAATTACACTGAACAAAGAAAACTGATTCAGCCACCACACTTAAAGACTGATGAGCTGTATTAAACCTTGATGTGTCATGTACACCCTACGTATTGACTGGGGTTAACAGGTGCCTTTGTGGGTGACTACAGAGAGTATAATGTTTTTATTGAGGCAGTCTTTATCAGATAAGATCAGCAGCAACTATAAAACAATGCTTATGTATTAAGCAAATATAGCTGCCCCTATGTACATATACAACTACAGACTATTAATAGAAACAGGGTTTTTTTTATTAATATTAACACACTTTGTATCAGGTAGCTAAGTTTTTTTCCCCACATGTACAGTATATTTAAAAACACTATAGGTTTACACTTCTATTATCTTCCTGCTGCAGTCTGACCAAAAAACACATATCCTTATTTATTTATTACAGGTATTTATACAGTGCCGACAATTTACGCAGCGCTTTACATAGTTGCTCATTCACATCAGTCCCTACCATCAAGGAGCTTACAATCTAAGAAGTTTCATTGTGAATCAATGCTTTTTTTTCCCCAGAAAAAAAATAGTCTTTATATATAAACAAATATACTGTACCTTGTCTAAAAATGTAGGCCCTGCTGCATTACTAGCGAAGAATTTACAAGGTTTGTAGATCATTAAAAAATTAAGATTTTAAAATTTTCTGTAAAATCCTTTTCTTGGAGTTTTTACCGCTCAGGTTGTACTGATACCTACAGACCAGCCCAGGGTAAACCCTCCAACTACAGCATGCTACAGTTTAGTGGCAAAGCAGTACTGAGAGCATGATCATAAAAACAGGGGTGGGACCTTTGTCCCTCAATAGACTCCAACAAAAACATTTTAAGGAGTGTACAAAAATCGTATATTATTTCTTCTAATAATAGAAGTCTGTAACCTTTGGGTCGTCTAAAAGCAGTCCAACTGAGTGGTGGGCAAAACAGAAAACAAATTGCTAACAGCTCCAAGAAAACAAATAAGAACTGAGGACTGCCTGCAGCTTAAAGAGTTGCCTAAAGGACCTAATGTCTGGAGCTGGCATCAGATGAGGCTGTAACATCCACCCGGTAAAACTTAGAGAACATGTGAATAGAGTACCACATGGCAACCTTGCAAATCTGGGAAACATTTGCTTGATGCCAAAAAGCCCAGGAAGTGCACACAAATCTAGTAGTGTGCACTTTGCCAGGAAAGGGTGAAACCGCATCCCTGAGATCATAAGCTTTAATGATGGTCTGTCTGAGCCACCTAGACATGGTGGAGCAATAATTTGCCTCACTATTGTGGAATCCATTCAGGATTAGCCTCCCCGTACACCTCTTCCTGCTGCCCCTGTTGTCACCAGACAGTTGTCCACAATAGGACACAAGCACACTCCAGGTTATTTACATCTTACCCCAGCTGTACACCAGGGGGGGCCGCCATCTGGTGCCTACTCACGTACAGGAGGATGGTTGCCTTCCCTGAGTGATGGAAGGGAACCTTGGCCAGAAATAGGGTGGGGGTCCGATAGGGAATCCCTGTAGGCACTGCAGCAGGTAAGCCTGGAGTAGGTCCCAATGCCTAGCAGGGTAAGGCTCAGCCCAAAGGCAAACAAACATGAGCCCTAAAAATAACAAACATTACGATGTCCCTGTGTAGCCAGCGGAAACACAAAAAAACTGACTTGGGATGGAAGGAGGAGTCTATTTATTTAATGTGGTTGATATGTTTCCTGTTGCAGGCAGGCGGAGCCTATATCTCGATGGCTGTCCTGGAAGATGACTGGGGAAAAGGGAATTGATTTTTCTGAAAGAAAATAGTGGCTGAGAGATAGACACACACAGCCCAAACTACATCCAAACAATGAAGGGAAATTTCCTTTTGAAAAAAGACCTGGACCTGAACACCACTTTGTCCTTATGAAAGACCAAAAAGGGTTCTTTGTAAGATGAAGCCAACAGCTCAAACACTTGCCTCACCAAAGTGATGGCAAAAAAAAAACACCTTGTGGTTAAAAGTAGCAAGACAAATGTATCTAATGTGTTCAAATGGAGATTTCGAAAGTGCAGAAATAACCTGACAGATCCCACAGAGTCCCAGGAAACTGATAGGGGGAGCTACAAGGGTGCCTCTATGTACAAAGGTATTAATCAAAAAGTGTGAGGCCAAGAGTCTATGAAACAGAATATAAAGGGCAGAAATCTGACCAGTCCTAACCCAGCTGCAGTAAGGAAAGGATTTGTCCCACTGACAGGCTCCTGGGGTGGATGCACAGAGACTCATACCAAGTGAAGTATGCCCTCCATGTCCGATGACCGACTTTGCGGGAAGTAGTCTTCCTGGATTTAGACATTGTAAAAATTACAGACTCTGAGATGCCTTTGTCCCTCATAACCTGGGCTTCAACTGCCATTCCATTAAAGACAGTGAGGAAGGATGACAAATTGATGCTTGGTATAGAAGATTCTGATGATTTGCCCCTGGTCATGGAATGTCTGCCAGGATTCTTACCAGGTTGGCGAAATACACCAACCTGGAGCAGTCCAGAGCAATGAGAATAACTAGAACACCCTCTGTCTTGATCCTGCAAAGCTGGTATGGAGGAAGTTTCAGAGGAAGAAAGCCATAGATCAGACTGTACTGATCCTACAGAGCCACAAGGGCAAACCACTGGTTTCCCTAAAGGATCCCTATACCCAGGCCCAGATTCCCCACAAGGCCACCGAGGCCAGGCCTCGGGGCGGCAGGGCGCAGAAGGGCGGCAGCGGTGTGGAATCCCCCGACGCCCAGAACTTAAGGTTCCGGGCGCGGGGCGGTAAGTTGCCTTCTACATTTAGTCCGGCTTTGGGAAGGCAGGACTAATTGCAGAACTTGGCCTTGGGGCAGCAGGGAGAGTAAATCCGGCCCTGCCTATACCTGGAGACAAACTGGTCCTGTTTGTTGTTGATCCTGGAGCTTTACACCCAGCCCCCCCACCTGCGACACAAGTACTGGCACATCGCCATGTATAGGGACCACTTCTCCTGGGTCCAGGCAGCACAGTCTAAACAAATCTGTCAGTTTTCTATGCCTGGAATGTACATGGCTGACAAGCATAAAACGGGAAGTTCTAAATAATGTGGCTGTTTAATAAAAAAGTGGAACAGAAGTAAAATTGGACTTATTCCCACAGCAGACTTTAGGTTTCACCTTCTAAATGGCACTAGGAAGATTAAACATGACATTGACTTGATTAATGTAGGCAACTCTTCTATTTGCTCCTGTCTTTATAGCTCATCCCAAGGTCTTCAAAGAACAAAGATGGAACTACAAGCTTGTGAAAGAGGTCATTGAGCTTTTAGCATCTGACAATTATGTGTAAATGTTAAATTACATCAACCAAAGTGGATATTTACTGATTGCCTAACCCCCATGAAATCTGTTTGCGGACTAGCCTGATGATCACGTTGTTACTTTTGTTTTACTAACAAAACCAGCAATAATCATTTACTTGCGTTGCAGTATAATATATCCAATAAGTAACCTGGAGTGCAGTGATTTCCTTTATTGTCTAGCAAAGTACAGACAACCCTAATCACTAAAATCTCATATAAGCCAAGTTGTTTTCAATCTTTTTTATTTTTTAAATATTCAGTCTTCTTTAAAATAATACCGGGTGATCCTGCCATAAGGATCCTTGTTCAGGCACTTCCTGTTATGCGGCGACAACTGTCTCCAAATTGTGTTCCTGAATTGTCACCCAGTCACAGCACTAGTGAAGACTACAGGTGGCTGACATACATCTGTTTTGGATAGAGCGTGAATGGATTAAGGACTGCTTACCAGCAGGGATTTCACTCCCTTTGGAGTTATATCCGCTCATGTCCTCTTCTGGCTATCAGACAACTAATGAAGGGAAATCTCCCTGGGGACACAAATGGCAAAAAAAAACAAAAAACAAAAACCTGACAGGGGTTATGACCCTCTCTTACTCTATTTAAAACTAAAAAGAGTTTTGGCTTCAGTTCTGCTTTAAGGTTGCTGAGGGAAATGAAGAATGAGTGAACTTGTGAATGAATCACATGACCTCCAAACTTCCAGCACTGATAGATGACTTGCACACCACCACATTCTGCCATACATACTGTATATGTAACTCATATAGGTGTCTTCATGTTTGGCTGCAGGAGAGCACTGTCTCACTTGAATTCACAAAACTTAAAAGTAAACCACCCAATGTTGTGCAGGCCTAGAAGTGCCCCTGTTATTTCCAGTCTGTATTACTATAGAACAATTAAAAAATGTCAATTACTTCCAGTACTATATAGTAAGATTTCGAACGATCTCCAGGTCATCACTCTCTTGGTACTGAGGCTCCTCCGGAAGCTGCCATAGATCTTCAGGAAAAGTCTGTAGCTTGGCAAGAGGAAAGCTATGTATAGACGTGTCATTGAAGATATCACTGTACTCGGGGCACTCCGGGAACGCAGTTTCTTTTACAGCTTGTAAACTCTGTAATGAAATGAAAGTTGATAGATTACATTAGACGTTGATTAAAACTAAACATGTGCACAGATCTATCTACTACCATCTGTGCGCTATCCATAACCATTTATACCTTCACTAAACAATTTCACCTTTCACACACGTTAATGGTCCTTTAAATTAGTGTCAACATAAAGTTACCTGCTACATAAAGCTAAACTCCAGGCAAATAAATACACAGATGAAATACATACAGGTGAAACTCGAATAATTAGAATATCGTGCAAAAGTAATTGCAGTAAGTGCTGCAAAAGGGGCCCAAACCAAGTACTGAGTACATATGCATGCTTGTACTTTTCAGAGGTCCGATATTGTTCTATGTACAATCCTTGTTTTATTGATTGCATGTAATAATCTACTTTTTTGGGGTTGTGGATTTGGCGTTCTTGGGGTTTTCATGAGCTGTAAGCCATAATCATCACAATTATGACAAATCACGGCTTGAATTATCTTGCTTTGCATGTAATGAGTCTATCTCATATATTAGTTTCACCTTTTAAGTTGCATTAGTGAAATAAATGAACTTTGCACGATATTCTAATTATTCGAGTTTCACCTGTATATAGGAGCTGTTTTCCCTGCTAATGGATTTGTATTTCGACCCAGTCCTGAGATTTGCAGAGCACTGCCACACAGCGCAGTCCTGTCTGGCAGGGCAGTAGGCCTGATTGTTCTATGCTGATGTTACATTCAACTTCCAGGACTTGCCCCTCCCCCAGCCTGTGACTAGGCAGTCAAAAGAAAAAGCAGCAGACTGATGAGCTCATCTCCCTGTCACTCTGCTCTATTCTTCTGTCAGTATGCTCCTTGTTAGCACATGAGCACTGCTATGTCTCTCTTTCCTGGTCTGAGCTTTGCTGTACAGAGACTGCAAGTTGCCGATAGCAGCTCCAATATAGGTGCCAACACTGCTTGTATTTAAAAAATAAATACATTTTATGACGTATTAAAGGAGAACTATGGGGTCAGTGCTTTTCCCCATAGTTCTCCTTAGGGTAACGGGAGGACACAAACTAGCGTCCTCCCGTTACCCTAAGCTCAGTATACCGCGAGCTACAGCTCGCGGTATACTGAGACGCGGCAGCCGGAGCGGATCCCGACGTAGATGACGGGATCCGCCCAGTTGCGTGACAGCTGGCTCTGTCTATCTAGAGGCAGAGCCAGCTGTACCCGCCCCCTCCCCCGTCCGTTCCGCCAGTCAGCGCTGGCAGATCGGAGCGGGGAGAGGGGAATCCAGCCCTCCCCCTGTCACGGCAGAGAGCCGTGACAGGATCGAGAGGTGAGCGAACGCCGGTATGTGTGCGCTCACCTCCCGATCTACTGAGCCGACCTGTGACAGTCTCATTGTCACAGGTCGGCTAGAACTATGAGGTGAGTGGAAATCACTCATCTCATAATTCTCCTTTAATGAATACAAAGCGTAATTAATTTGCGTCTTTATATCTGCCTGGAGTTCAGCCTTAATAAAATAACTTTTTACAAGCATTTCATCAGATGACTTAGACGTTCCATTGTGAAAAATATGACTTCCGGTACCTAACTGCCTCATGCTATAATGCTGAAAAGTCCTTCACTGAGCCTTTCTACCCCCCAGTTCATGCTTTTGTGTCTTCCCTTTCACTTTATAGAGAGATTTTCACACTGTAAATTCTGCTCAGGACTTTCTATGTTTTGGATATGTAGCAAGTGGAGAAAGGAAGATAATATTTCCACAAGCAGGGGCACCTAATGCCTGTAAAGTAGACATGTCATGACAAAAACACAGTTGCTGCCATTGCTGACCTCTCTTTCTAAAAATGCTTTTTGTTTGGCTGGTTCCAATTCTTTGAGCCACTGAATGAAACAAGCATGCAGATAAGAACTTTTCTTTAACTTTCCAAATCTACATTTCAGGTCAGTGACTGGAAGGGTTTGTATTTATAAACCGTTTGCACTGCAAGATGTGATGCATTATTGCCTCTGGATGGAGCCGAGGAGCATAGGAAATTCATATACTCCTTGGCTCCAGCTAGTGGCCATAATTTGTGTGGAATCCCGTTCACAGACATGTTCACTGTGCAAATAGTTTATAAATACACCCCAAAGTATTGAATCTGGGCAAACGGACCCCTAGCTTTTTCAGAAGGAGATTAGAAATATTATTATAGTAATGAACCCTTTTATATGTTAGGAAGAGTCATATTAATAATGGAAAGTATTTATACAGCTAAATGGTCATTAGTTATCTGTAGCAAAAAACCCCTCTGAAATAAAATGCCTACCTTATAGATATAAGTATAGTCTCTTTGCAAAATTCGGGATAGCAACCTAAGAAATAAAATATTTGACACAATGTAAGGATTATACAACATTATAAAGAACAAAAAAGGAAACAAAGAAATTAAGAATAGTGTAACATGTTTTTGTCTGCTTTATAAATAAAAAACAGGTATGTACAAATCAGTCCGTGCTTAGATACCGGCACCGATACATGTTGGCATGAAAGTTCAGATGTCTAAAAAAACATAATTGAGAGGTTAAACGACAGATCGAAGTTATGGGTATAACAGTGTCAAGAGTCAGCTTTTAATTTCTAGCCGGACTGTTAAAGTATAACTACACCCAAAACCAAAAATGAAATATACTGCAGCTCACCAGTCCTAAGCCTGACAAAAGAAAACAAATGCAGCCACATCTCCAGCAAGTACAGAAAATACCCATTGATCTGGCCAGAAAAGCCATGTCCTTGTCACTTCCTGTGAGCTGACCTGGAACCATAAAACAATGTTATCTTATTTGTGTTCCCTACCAATCCTATCAGTCCCCAAGTAATGGAGATGAACAAAGGAAGAAATGTAAAGTCCAGTCTGGGTGGAATAAGTGTAGACACACACACAGAGGGGGGAATTTAACAAAACTGGAGCAGTTGCCCATGGCAACCAATCAGCATCTCTCTTCAGTTTGCTCATTAAAGATTTGAAAATGAGACGGAGAAGCCGATTGGCTGCAGTGCAAATCTGCTCCAGATTTTGATAAATCCTCCCCAGAGTGTGTAAAGCTGGCCATACAGTAGTAGATTTCAAATAAGCGAAAGATCTTTCTTTAGCACCCAATAATGCCATCAGACACTTGATGAATGTTGATCCAAATTTTGTTTGATTTTAACTTTTCATTTTGGAATGAATTGAGTTTCCCGAATGAAAACCATATTCACTGTTAGAATTTCATTCCTTTGAGAAAAAAAATGTCATCCTGCACCTTTAAGTTTTTTTCATCACTATGGTTGAAATCGATGGTAGATTTGACCCCATTAACTAAGAGAGATTCGAAAGAAAGTTCTTTCATACAAAAGTTCTTTTGAAAATCTAAGCAGTTTATGGCAAACTTTATTTGTACAAATACCAGGTGAAAATAAAGGAAAAAAAGGCAAAAAGAAAACTACTGCAGACACCTCATCTAAGGACTGGCAAGCTGCAATATAATAATACGTGTTTTGGGGGTTAGATTCTTTGGAAACTTAGGGTGAGGGAAGTAGGAGATCTTTTATTTATTGCTTTTAATGGTCAGCTGACAGCAGTTTTAGGTTAGAATTGGGGACATCATTTTTCACTTGTTTTCAGTACTAAAAGTTCTGCACTGAGAACTACCAGTTCTGAAAACCAGTGTGTGACTATATACCGTACTCATCCTACATAATACATAATTTACAGCAACCAATAGCTGTTAGTCAATCGCTACAATGCACACTACCGGAGCTGTCACAACGCACTAGCCTGCCCTCTAAAACCAGCATTTCAACAGACAGGCTGGTGTGAATAGGCCCTTGCTGTTTTTCCTAACAAAAGATTTGTACATGTGTCCAGCCGTTCTTCTGATGCACACGGGTGTGCTATTTAGCAAGATGACTCTGTTCCTTCTTTGCTTACCATGATTATTCCTAGGTCAGCTCACTATACGGAGGTGATGTATTCAGAGTATTGAGTTATTTCATTTCTCAAATCACAAAGGGCTTTAAAGACGTATCGTGAAGGGGTTTACAGCTTACCGTTCTTCGATCCCTCTAAAACTGTTGCCAATGATAATCATTTGTGACAAAGCCTCTACTGACCAGTTCCTCCACAGCAAGTTATTGTATAGAGCCTTCCCACAATGCAGCATGTAGAACACTGTGGGTTTCTGCACAGCATGCTTCCCCTCCTAGAAAGATAAAGACAGTCTACTGTAGCATCTCCTAATAACTTAATTTTTATGTACAAAGCACTAGTACAGGACTGTGAAATTAACAATAGTACCTGGTATTTATTTTCAGCATGAAGAGCAATGCCAATGTGCAAATCACAGTAGCCCACAGCAGCAAAATTCAATTTATATTACGGGCTTTGGGTTACAACTTCCATATTGCTCTTTATCTTAATAAACAGGCCCAATAATGTGTAATTAAGAATGTAGTAAATAGTCAATCACTGCTAGATGCTCTGGAACATGACTACATCATGTGGCCTGTCCATCCTGGGTGCCTGGGACCTCCAGGGCAGGTTTTAGGAGGAAGAAGGGTGCGAGATCAGTAAATATCCATTTGCTGATCTCCCCTGGGTAGTATAAACCTGGAAGTGCTCAGCTCTCAGCAGTTCCGGGTACAGTGTGGTCAAACAATGGTCCGTTATCAAACACAGTCTGTGCTTAATCAGCTTAAACAGAGTTCAGGGTGACATTAGGGGTACAAACAGACCTCTGATGTCTCCTTAAAGAGAACTTGTCACTTCACTATGATATCACATAGGAGGCTTGTCATCCCCCTTGTGATAGCAATCATTTTAAGTAAAAAAGGAAAAAGTTAGATAAACAAAGATATTACATTTAATAAAATAAATCAAAAACACCCAAAACAAAAACAAAAACTGATGACCTGTACAGTGTCACCTATGGACAATTATGGGTACTGTAGTTTTTTGCCACTTCACAGGCACATGCAATTTTGAGGGTTGACTTATCTGATATCTATTTACTTAACACAACCTCATATTTTCTATTTTATGGGTGTTATATAGTCCTTGTGTGCATTAGAATTAATTTAAGTGTATTATTTACTGAATATACATTTGATAAACAGTAGTGCAAATATCATGCAACATAAAAAATGCAACTGTTATGTTATTCTACAAGGCCCCTGCTTTCTGAAAATATATAAGGTTTTGGGGTTTGAAGTGTGTTTTCATGTACAAACGCTGGATTTTACAGTACTACGAGAGTGCAAAATGAAAAAAATTACTCTGGCATTAAAAGAGTTAAAGCAGTATCAATTCTCTTAGGTACACGTATGAACAGTTTTTAAGGAATGCAGCAGGTAGTTTGTGCTAAACATCTAGTACTACCCACAACTCTTCTGTGGTTTTAGGCCATCTCGTTTGCTTCTGTTTCTTCAATTAATCCCAGACAGGCTCAATGGTGTTGATATCTGGGCTCTGTGGAAGCCATGCCATCTTTTCCAGGACTCCTTTTTCTTCTTTTCACAGAGCATATTTCTTTACTGCTTTGTTTGCATGTTTGGGGTCATGGTCCTGCTGCAGAATTAATGTGGGAACAATCAGATGCCTTTCTGACAGTATTGCTTGCTATATAAGTATCTGCCTGCACTTTTGAGCATTAAGGAGACCATTAATTATGGCCAAATCCCCAACCCCATGTGCAAAGTAACCTCCACCATGCTTCACTATTGCCTGCAGACACCCATCCTGTACCTCTCTCCAAGATTCAGCAAACTGCCTTCTTTTACAGCCAAATATCGCCAAATTAGGATTGATCCATCCAGAGATTCAACTGCCATTTTTCTGCACATCAGTTCTTGAGCTTTCATGCATAGGTGGATAGCTTGGCCTTGTTTCCATGTCAATGGTATTTTGCCCGCAAGTCTTCTATGACCAGACTTTTCCAGACTGTAGATGGATGTACCAGAGCTTATGGAGAAGAGCTTGGACAGCACCAATGGAAACACCTGTCTTTCTTGTATCACTGCCTGCGAGAGACCTTGTTGATGCAGTAAGGCCACCATAAGTCTTGCTACTGTGCTCAGCCTTGCCATTGTGTAAGAATATTAACATTGAACTGCCTTAAATGACTTCAACTTGTAAGTACTGTATTTTTCAGTGTATAAGACTATACTTTTTCATAAAAATGTTTACCTAAAAATAGAGGGCGTCTTATACACGGGGGCCGAGAGGAGAACCGCGGTTGCGAAACTGCCGATACCTCTGCAAACTAGCCTCACGAGTGAAACTTCGGATGGCAGAGACAAGATAACAGGTTTCCTTCAATCATAAATCTTTTGTACCTGACGTCAGCTGTTGCTGGGGAAGAGCGTGTGTAGCCAGTGCCCAGAGCGGTAATGTCGGAGCATTCTGTGCCCATAAAAATGTCAGAAAACGAAAAAATAAAGTGATTGGCTCAGAGTTAAGTGTGATGCATAATATCATTTAAAATATTGATTTCTGAATTTTGGGTAAGAAAATTTGGGGGCGTTTTAGTGTGAGACAAGTTTTTTTACATGCTAGCTTGTGAGTGTGCCAGGAAAACTTTTTGCTATTTTACTGTTTAAAGCCCATTCCATGTGCACCTTACTGTAAAGCTGGTGACGAATTGATGAGTGCATTTGTCATCTGTTTTGCATGATTTTTTTGGTGCAGTGATGCATGGGGGGGTCTCAGCTGCCATTGTGATGTGCGGGGTCCCTTGTGCGTCTCTGTGCCTTTAAGGGGGTTGGGTATCCTCCTGACAAACCTGCACCCAATTTTATCTTCTGCCCCATGTGCTCCAAGATGGAGGCTCTGATAGTTTAGAGTTAGGACCGCACTATAAGAGGTGCCTTGGCGCGGCTGTCACATTTTCTGCAGAAGATGTGTATCCAAACCTCTGTTTTTAACCTTAGCGGTGAGACAAGTTTTTTTACATGCTAGCTTGTGAGTGTGCCAGGAAAACTTTTTGCTATTATACATGGGGGCGTCTTATAGACAGAAAAATACGGTCATGGCCTTCCCGCACCAAGATTTATTCCTCCTATAGAGCAGATTCAGTTTGATTTAATGATTATACTTGAACCCACATCTTATGTTGTTAAACATTAGCATCTGTTGGTTTGTTTGTTTTGGGGTATCCATTAGGGGGGCACTCTGTTTGTCAGAACTGTCCTGAGTTTTGCACTAATATATATATTTATTTTTGTCCCCATCCCAGACTACATATATTTATGTTGTACCCTCTGCTGGTGGTAAAATATTTTTTGTTTACAATCCTATTTCCAATGTTCACCTGACATCTGTATTTCTTTGCCTCCCTCTCTTACAGGTCTTAGGGATTGATTTAACTAGCTTGTGAAAATGTCAGCTACATGCTGCAACTCATGTCAGCTAATCTGCAATTTTTCTGATTGGTTGCCATGCAAATCACAAATCCCTTTCTGTTCTGTCAGCATTTCTTACTTATATAAAATGAACAGCACTGCATTAGGTTACCTCATTTTTAAAAATAACTTTTAGATCCAGTTCTTGAAGCACAGAAATCTCTAACGTGGAAAATATCGGGTCAAAAACATTGCACTGCTGACGTGGAATCTGTAGAGACAAAACAACAAATTTTGGATTTAATTAAAATTATATATATTTTGATTATATATATATA